CAGCTGCGGGGCCGGGGGGGGGGGGGGGGGGCGGCTGCAGACGGAGGAGCCGCGGGGCTGAGCTTGTGTGTGTGTTTGCTCCAGGTGTTCAAGTTCATCTACTCCTGCCGCCTGGCCGACATGGGGCTGGCCACACAGGCCTTCCACTACTGCGAGGTCATCGCCAAGGGCATCCTGCTGCAGCCGCACAGGCACTCGCCCGTGCTCATCAGCCAGCTGGTCCAGGTGCGGTCCTGAGCCGCCCCCGCAGCCTGGGGTCAGGGCGCCAGACTCGGGGGCAGAGGTCGGGACGAGTCACACACTGAGCTGCTCTCGGGCAGCTGCTCGTGTCTGGCACGTTAGCGCACGAGTCCGTTCGTCTCGCTCCCGTGCAGAGACTGCGCTGGGAGCTCCAAGGCCAGAGCAGAGGTCGGTCCCGCCGTTAGTGGAGCCTGCGGGTCCGACAGCCTGGGTTTGGGTCCTGCTGACCCACTGCGGCCTGGTTTCCCCGCCCTGGGCAGTGAGGCAGCGTGACTGGCCTCAGAACTGTGGACCCTAGACGGGATGGGCCAGCGCCCAGCCAGCGCCACAGCGTGTGTCCCCCTCCCGGAGAACGTGCTCAAGTGACACCCAGGAAGGTTTTGTTATGGAGGCTTCCGGACAGTGTGAGGCCAAGCTTGACTCATCCGGTCCTGCCCACGACCCCCAGCTCCCCCCACCCCCAGCTCACCTCCCCACCCGCTCAGAGTACGTCTATGTCTACGTCAGTTCCGCACTTGGCTTGGCCAAGTCCAGTCTGTCGTCAGGTGGCGGCGGCAGGAAGTTCAGCTCCGGGGTCTGGGCCCTGCGGACCCCATGCAGCCACCCCGAGGTCGGCTCCTGTGAGCGTGGCGTCCGGGCTCACCCTGTGGCACCACTGAGCGGGAGGCCTGCCGCAGAGGCCCGCCCGGCCCTGGGGTGCGTCTGCTCCAGGTCGGAGCGCTGTGAAGACACTGGTAGTAACGGGCCTGCCTTCTCGTGTGTCTCCAGATCGCTTCCCAGTTACGCCTCTTCGACCCGCAGCTGAGAGAGAGGCCGGAGGAGGAGTCCTTTGTGGAGCCTGCCTGGCTGGTGCAGCTGCAGCGTGTGGAGAGGCAGGTCAAGGTGAGCGTGGTCCGTCGCGGCTGGCACTTCTGGTGCTGGTTTCCACCCGTGGTGTTGGGCGTGGACAGGACAGGGAAGGCGTGCGGGTGTGTGGGAGGGCCTCTCGGGGATGAGGTGGGATGGCTCCCACAGCCTGGCTGCCAGCGAGGCCTGAGCCATTTGTCCACAGGAGGGCGCTGTGGTGTGGCGTCAGGACCCGGCCTTCCCCCAGCGCTGTGAGCACTCTGGCCAGGGCGTGTGGCTGCTGCCGTCAGGTGAGCCTGCGCGGGGGAAGGCCCTCGCCCCTTTCTCTCGAGAGGGCAGCTTCCAGACGAGGAGAACCCAGGGGCGCTTGTTCCTCCTCCCCCTCCTCCTCCTCCTCCCCTTCCCCACCTCTTCCTCCCC